TCAGCATAGTTCAGCATGAAGCAGTCTGTTTGTGGCATCACTGTTAAACATCCTAAGGAAAGTAAATGTCAAGATTAAGGGAAGTGGGAGCAGAACAGAACAAACCCAATGAAGGGAAGAGGGACCATACAAGCCTCAACATGTTTAAACACACAATGTGCCCTTTTCTCCTTGCATTATTTGTGTTGCTTTCAAGTCACTTAGAAAACTCGATCTGTTCATTCTACTTCCAGAGGCTGCTGAGGTGAAAATTTTCTTATTCAGGGTGAAGAAGTCAATTCTAGGTGTTAGGCTTTAACTTTGGGAAGGAAAGTTCAATCCTGTTCCTTTTTTGCTCAAGCAAAGCCAAGAAAAAGAGGCATGGAAAAGAAAAGGGAAAGCTCTTCCTGTCTTTGATGTGCCAGTCATTAATTGCCAAACCACCATTCCTGAGCCATCTCAAAGCTATGGCTGGTGCAGGCTTGTTAAACCCACCCTTCTTGTTAAGCCCTCCCTTTATAAGGGATTGGAAAAATGGAATAATGAGGTGAGAAGAAAGTGTCAGGGCCCAGTGTATCAGAGCCTTTTACTTTGCTTCATGAGTTGAACAGAAACACCACTGTCAAGCAGTTCTGAGAAAAATTAAGATTTTTAAGAAATCAGAAAGTTGAAATAACAGAAGCCTACAGCCAGGATACTTGTGGGTGCTGACATTTCTCTGGCTGTTATTTTGTGATGCTTTCTGTGTTTCTGAAGGAGTAGCAAAAGCACCAGTGAGGCAGAGAGAACCAGAGAAAATACTAATGAAATAGGGCAGAAAAGCCACAGGCACAAGCAGATGTGCAAGCTCCTCATCCTGGGAGCTGATGTCTCCTGCTGTGGGGATGGACAACGGGACTTTGAATATACTTTGTTAATCTTTTTTTTCCATATTTCCCATATTTCTCCCTCAGTGATATTCCTCCTTCAATGATATACCTCCTATGTGAGGAATTTAGCTGTCAAAAGCCTTTTTCTTGTCACAAGAATGACTCACAACGTGGTGAAGTCTCATTATCTGATCCCAGCTCTCCTGAGGTCATCCAAATCTGGCTCAAGTCCTAGGAGACCCGTGGGAGTCTGAGGTACAGGAGGGGTGGTCAGTCATCAGCACTGAGCAAAGCAGTGGGAATTACAGCAGTGATGTTTTCTAAATGCTGCAAGTCCACAGCGAGTGAGATTAGTTTCTGCTTTAGTTATTTTCTCTTAGTGGAAAGAGTTCCTTACTAAGGGTATCACATGAAACTTTAGGTGTTTGGGGGTTTTTGGTTGGTTTGTTTGTTTATATGTTCACCTGTTTTTTGGTTTTTTAATGGGAAGTGGTGAGTTTTAACATTTCCCCTGTAATCTGGGATGTATGGTGGATTTCTCCCCGATGTTTATTTATGGCATCAGTCCTTGCAGGGGAGGAGAGCACCTTGGTAGTGACTTCTCACTCCCACCTGTTTGGTTCTCAGGAGCTTCCAAGCCAGAGCTTCCCTTGGGGCTGTGCCTTATGAGGTGCATTTCCAAGCTGGAGCAGCACCTCCCAAGTGGGACATGTGCTGGGACCTGGAGGAAAAGCAGGGCCAAGGCCATGTCCTGGTGAGATCCTGATTGAAATGGTGGTTTGGCTCTGGCCACTGAGCTGGTCAGTGCCTCACTGCCTTCTGCATTCAGTGTTCTGTAAAAGGCCCTCGGCAGCTCTGTAAACCAGCAGAGCTGCACAAACACAACACCTGACCCAAGAAATCTGGTTTTCCTCCTGCCAGAGGAAACTGTGAATTGGCTGAGTGTTCAGTTCAAGAGGTGTAATGGTATAAACTACCTGCACTGTAAAGTTTTACGAGGTGACAAAGTTTTGTAGTCTGGCAATAGTGCAGTTGAGCTGGAGACTGTAGGGTGCCCTGCCAGGAAAGGGAGGGGAGCAAGAAGGTGAGGAGGGCTTCCCAGCAGGCTGCAGCCTCTCTGGGCAGCCTGGAGGATGCCTTGAGGGGTGCCAGGCTGCTGCTCCTTCAGGCTGGGACATGCATGGCCCAGGCACTTAGTGCTGTGTGAAGAATGGGACAGAACAAGCTCCAGCTCTCTAATCACCCCTTCTTCCCCCTTTGGGCACATACTTGTATACACTTGGGCTATGAAATGGGGAGCTAAATACCAAGCTATGACAGAGGTGTGTCAAGGTGTATTGCTTACTTAGAAGGCAAAATGCCATTTACAGGCCTTACAGATTTTTTTGTTGATAGTTTTCACTTTGCAGCAACCCTTCTGCCACTCCCTCTCCACTAGGATTAGATGGGTCTTATTTCCAAAAGCTAAGAAAATAAGTGCTCATATAGGAAACTGCCAGTGGTGCTGCTGCCTCTCCCAGCACTTGCTGAGCTTTTAAGTCCAATTCTGATGCAAGTTTGTGAATTTTATAGACATTTGTAATTCATTTATTTGCCACATTGCTGCGGGATCCGTGAGCGGATATTACCTTTCCTTGCACCTCACAGCAGGAGGTGGTGGGGGTCCTGCTCTTGGCAGCACATGGTTGCTCCTGCTTGGTATTCATGGGCACATTCCTCTGGCTGATGATATATTATTATTGGGCTGGAAGAAAAATAATGCAACCAAGCTCTTATTATTTTCTCCTTTTATCTGTTTAGTCATATTAGTGTGGGATCATTGTTACTTAAATGAGCAGGAGATGCAGTCAAGGACATGTTCATTTTTAAAGTCCTCCAATGCTCTTGTACTTCAGTCATTCATCTTCTGTCTTTAATTACAGCAAGTGATCTCAGAGGCACTTAAAAGATTAAATTACTCAATTATTTGAAAAACCCAAATGCAATAACTGTATATTTTTGCTGATAAATACCAGCCATTGCTGGAAAAGGTTGCCCAAGGCAAAATATATTGGGAGGCCAAGGAGGCCATATTGTAACATTTTGTCTTAACCCAGTGATACCCTTTTAATTTTCATCATTTGCAACCTTTATTTTTATTTGTATTGATAATAACCACAAACTTTTCTATTGCTGTCCTGGTGGTTTCAGCAGTGTGATGAATGTCACTGCCCAACACTTTACAAGTGTCCTGGCAGCTCCTTGGCTGTGGAGAGAAGGACATGAGGACAAACATAGGTTAAAAAGGCAGGGCATCAGCATGGCCAGGCAGTGAACCCCATCCAAGGTGATGCTTGTGCATGGGGGATGGTTCAGTGTTTGGGAAAGGGATGTAATTAAAACACATCCCCAAGGTAGTGGCTCTCTCCATGATGAGGTGGATGGGTTCCCTGTTGGAAAAGGTGAGCATCCAGTAGGTGCTCACTGTGGTGGGCAGGCTGGCTTGGGCTCCCCAGCCTTGTAGGAAACGGGACAGAGGGACAAAAACTGGCTCTGAGATGGTGTTCTGGGTGTCCCATGGCCACAGAGGGAGCTGTTGATGTGTCCTGCATGTCAGCATTGCTGCCAGTACTGCATCAATGCATCTGCAGCAGCTGAGTTTGTCCTTCCTGACCAGCAGCCCCATTGCTCACTGGGGATCCCCAAGTACAGCCACTCAACAATGGGAAGTTTTTCGTAAACAATTTTTTTTTTTGCCTCTTTTGCAAAGCAACAGATGGGGTTGAACCCAGTTCTGGGAGCCTGGCTAAGGCCCTTGTGTAGTCCCTCCTCCCTGGGCCAGGAGAAAAGGAACGTGATTCTTCAGGAAAAGAAAAATCCAAGGTAAAGTGTTAAAATCCTGTACTTTCTCTTCATAGGTCCAGTTCTGAGTTCCTGTCCTGCTGGGCACCAGAAAACACTGGGCAAAACACCAGAGCAGCCATGAACCCAGAGTGCTCTACACTTTGGCCATGGTGGGCTCCTTTCTCATGCTGGTTGGCCAGCAGTGAGGCACAGGCATGAGGTTTTGGTGTTGATGAAAACTTCCTGCTTTGGACTACCTCTAAAATGCAAGAGTCTGGGGGCAAAAGAAGGACTCACTGTGTGTTGTCAAACCAGACCAGCTGTGGTGTCTCATGTCCTACTGCCACGAAGAGCAAGCCTGGCTGGTATTAGCAGGGAGCAGTGGGGTGGCCACGTGGGCTGGCAGGCCCTGGGTGGGTCTGGGGGTCAGGCTGCCCTCAGCCAGCATCTGTCCCACACACGTGGTGGGGCACTGCAGGCCCACAGATGCTGCTGCTGAGGGGTTACTGTCCTCTGCTCCACCACCTGTGGTTACCACATTTATTTAATTTAAAAAAAAAAAAAAGAAGAAAAGTGAGTAATTCGATACACATCCTCTCAAGGAACAGCAGTCATTCCAGCAAGGAGCAGGCCAGTGGTCTGGGGAAGGACAGATGGCCCTGCAGCTAATTTGCTCCCATAAATCGCAAGCTGTTGCAAATCCTCCCTGCAGTAAATGCTGGCTCTGTGTTTGTGGCCATGTGTCTGTCTTGGAGCTGCTATGAGCAGGAGATAGAGCAGAATCTGTAGTTTTAGGCTGTCTTTCCCTTGTGTCTTTTGCAGAATTTAGCATTTTGGTTAAGAAATAAGCTGTAATCCTGTAGTTGGCTGCCAGCAGAGCTCCATGCAACTGCTCTTGCAGAACCAGGTATTCTCTTGCTGAAGCTCCAGCACAGCCACGAGCTTGTCCTGTCTCCTTGCAAACTGCTGCTAAGGACCTGCACACTGCAGTTCAAGGCTCTGCTCAAGGCAGAGGGCAGTTCACTGCCTTTAGCCTCTCTGTCTTGCAGGATTCTCATCCCTGGGAGAGGATCAAAAGCCCTGAAATGTCACTGAAACGGGACAGAGGCTTATGGTTATTTTAGTGCTCTGGCCTTCCTGAAGAGAAGCGGAAAGACTTCTCACCTTGGTGTTTTGTCCTTACTGGGGGACAGAGGACATTGTGTACTCAAGCCCTGGCAGGCTGGCCATTACTGACTCCCCGTTGCACCTGGAGCTGGGACCACCTGGCCATGGTTACCCTGCTTTAAAGGCTGTGTCCTCCTGTGTATCCTGGGCTGGGTTAGGAGGCAGGCATGGAAGGACTGAGTGGGACAGAGGGCATGCTGGGCTCAGGCAGTGGAAAATAACTACCTGTGGGAGGTCAGTACTAAGGTATCAGGATGGAGATCCTTGTTTCAGAGTCAAAGGCATGGAAGCAGCTAAGTGTCTAGGTTACTTTTTGTGCAAGAGATGCTGACCTCTGTCAGAGGCATAGAGGCTTTAGTGTCTGGGACCTGCTGTGGTGCTGGGGAGGGTATCTCAAGTGTGTGAGACCTCCCCAACATCAGCCTATGTAGGACAGGCAAATAGTGTTGTGTTGCAGTGTTGTGACATTTTCTCTTGTTTACTCATTAACCTGGACCCACTGCTCTGGCCTGTGTTTGCCCTTGAGTTCCACACGTCCTTGTGTTTGCTGAGCAGAGTCTTGCACAATGGAGCAGGGCAGGCTGCAGTTGCACAGTGGTGACTTGTTGGCTTTCTACTTTTTGGCTTTCTATGTATTGCTGAGTTGCCCAGGATATTGAGGGTCACAATTTAAAATGTACGTTTTAAGAAAATCCAATTGTTACAAATCTGTGGCTTGATGTCTTGTATTCCTGGTCCTGTCCACCCTGATGTGTAACTGCTTTGTAGCAATAGTCTGCCTGGCCTAGCACCCATCCAATTGAAGCCCAGGTGCAGCTGTGGCTGACACATATCTGGCAAGGAGACCGTGACATGATCATGCTGAATTCCCCTGGGATTGTGAGTGGGTCATGCTGATTTCTGTCTGGCAAGGTCTTTGTTCACTCCCCAGCATTTTCACATCACGACTGAGCTGGAGCAGCAGTATGTGTTTTCATCCTTTCCTATCTGATTGGCAGGCTCCAGCAGTCTTTTGGATATTTATTCCAATATTTTCACCTCACAGTCATCTCAGGGTGCTCAGCCTGTGCTCTCATCTAACACCTACCAGCCACTTCAGAGAGCAGCACCTCTTAGGCCTGCCAAAATCCGCTGAGGGTGACACTGATTCTGCAGTGTAAATGCATCAAGCAGAGAGGGACTGCCCTGCTGGTGACTCCTGCCAGGTGTTATAGAGAGGACAGGCACCCAAGAATTCAATGCTACGAAGTCTGTGCATGCCAGGAGCTGAAACATCAGTGCTGCTGAGGTTAAGACAACCTCATTGCCCTGACATTGCTGCAGTGGGTGGGAGGGAGAAAGGGGAATGAGAGTTCATGGCATACAGTGTTTTTTTGCAAGAAAGGATGGACTTGCGCAGCTGACCATCTCTGCCATGGCAGACATTTGGAAAAAAATGCTTCCTTTCAATCCAAATTTTAATGCAGAGCTTTCTCTGAATGATGGGACATAAAGGCTTATCCCCTCCTAGATGGTCTCTCATAGTTGACTCTTCTCAGCACCCTGTTTTCTGAGACTCTGCTTCTTTTAGTTAGTCAAGAGAGAGTTGGAGTGATATAGGCACATGACCTGCTTACAGTTGCAATAGAGTTAATTTTTTTTTTTGCAGTGCTGTGTTTTGGATTCAGTATGGGAATAAGTTTACCATCAACACTGTCATGTTATTGTTATTGTTAAGTAGTGCCCACCCTAAGTCAAGGACTTTTCAGTTTCCTGTGCTCTGCCAGTGAGGAGCTGCACAAGAAGCTGGGAGGGAGCATGGCCAGGAGAGCTGACCTGAACTGGCCAAAGGGATATTCCATACCACAGAACATCATGACCAGTATATAAACTGGGGGAGTTGGCTGGGGGGGACAGCTGCTGTTCAGGGATGGGCTGGGCATTGGTCAGTAAGTGGTGAGCAACTGAACCGTGCATCATTTGAGTTTCTTGGATTTCATTCCTCTCTTTTTTTATCCCCTCATTGTTGTTAATAATAGCAATAATAATAACAACAACAATAATAACAAAAATTATAAGTAACAACAACAATAATAATTTTGCTTTATTTTGATTATTAAACTATTCTTAACTCATAGGTTTTACGTCTTTCTGATTTCTTTGCCTGTCCCTCCAGGTTGCAGGATAGAGAGAGGTACTTAGTTGCCAGCTGGGGTTATACCACAACATGGATCCAAAGGAACATTTAATCCATCTGCAGAATGTGTATGAAAAACAGAAATCCCTATCATGCCACTGCACCTTTTACTCTTTTGCAATGGCTTGATGGATTTGAGATGGTTGATGTCTGGCAATGTGAACCCAGCTCCAGTCTCTTCTGTGAACCTAGACCTAAATTATTGACAATAACACAGATGCAGAAACTTGGCTGAATTTGGAAAACATAATCTTTGCCATGAAGCTTGTGTATACATAAGGATACTACAGGCTAAGTGTAATGGACAACAATATCATTTTGAGCCTGCAGTCATTACTGAAGTCCCACACCAGAATAATTTAGTGTATAGCAGGTTGCAATAAAGAAATCAAGGGCTTAAATTCAGCATTTCCTGAGCCACTGGATGAAAAAAGAGCACAAAGAAACATGATTCTTTAGTGTATGCAAATTTATTCAACTCTGAAATTATTTATTTACAGCTAATGACTGATACCAACTGATGAGGTAAAAATATGAGGTATTGATATGAGTATAACATTTAAAAATGCAATTATCATAATGTATCAATGTAACAATACAAAATACTGTGGTAGCTGAATGGTAGACATGGCATAATGTGCATTTTGAAGAAATCTTGTTTCAACAATACATGGCTTGCAGATGCCAGAAGGTCATGACAGAGCTTCTGCAAGGGCAGGAAAACAGCCCTACCTTGCTGAGGGTGGCAGATGGCACAGGGCCTCTTCCAGCTGAGCAATGACTTGTGAGACAGGACAAAACCACTGTCCAGGTTTTCCCTTCTTTTCCTTAGGACATTGTTTATTGCCAGACACTGCCATTCCCAGGGCAAGAAATTCTGTTCCTGTTAATGCTGAGGCTGTATTTATTTATGTAAACTAATGTAGCAGAAGTACTCTAATTGCTCATGTTTTGGAAAACAGCCGGCATGAAATCTGCTGCCATGGCCACAGGCATTTGGGAGGAGGTGCTGCTTTCTGGAATGGCATTCCCAGATGGGGAGGCACTGTTTGCTCCTGGGAAGCCTGAGCCTGGGCAGTGGGAGTGCCCTGTAGCCAGCAGGTGACTGCCAGACCCCACTACAGCCACGTAACAGCCCCATGAGTGCTCCCCTGTCTGCAGGACTTAAAGCTCGTGATAGTTGCACATTGCAACTGTTGTTGGCCATAAACTCGAGGCAGGAGCTCCCAGGCAGCCAACATCCCTGATCCTAGGACTTGCACAACATAAATGAGTGACACAGCTCATGGGTGAAGATGACAGTGACTTTTTTGGAGTCCTGCTCCTTCACAAGGACATGCTGGAGCACTGTGGGTCACCTTGGGCCACCCTGTCCACCCTGAGCTCTCACAGGTGTGCTGCCTCAGCCCACAGGGCTGTCCCCTGCCAGCACAGCCCCCATGTGTGTGCAGGATGGAACGTGGGGTCATGCTCTAGCAGCTGTCACCAAGAACATTCCACTGCACAGCTCCCGCACCTGGAGAATGTTCAAATCTCTGGCTTTGAAGGGACTTCCTCATTCACTGAATTGGGGCACAAAGCTGTAGCTTCACATAGGAAATGCATCCTGCTTAATCCATACTCATACTAACCTTTCTGGATTTTTTTTGGAAGGACTGAGCTGAAACACTGGCTGTGAGTGACTCTGCTGGTTTATGTAGCAATAAATAAAGTCTAAGTGGACAAATGTGATTAATGAAGAACAGTATTAACAGGCTTGTACATTCTTACTGAGTCATAGATGTAATAACATTTTGGTCGTAGGTTAGTTAAAAAATAAAATGGAAGCCTGCCTCAAAAGCAATGTCGACAAATTATTATTATTATTACTTTTAAAGCATTCTTCCATTAGCAAAATAATAGGTCCCTGAAAATGAAATTACATAATAGGCTTAAATGGCTCCTACTCCTCATAGTCCTAATCCTGCTCCCACCAATGCCTACAGAGGTGGGATCGTGCAGAACAGTGCAATATAAGATGAAAATGCTTGCTGTTACTATAAAAGCAATCTTTCCAGGAATAGTATTTATTTAATCTTTTAAATATCCAAGATGTGTTTAAAATCTTTAAAAAAGCATAGTTATTTATATAGCAAGAATATTAAAAGGCATGGTGTTCATCTGCATGTCTTTGTGTCCACTGGATGTGGAAAATCTGCTTTGGATTAGCCATCTCTATGGGAGAAGGAAAGAGCACAGAAACACTCAGAACCTAGACAAAATGCTTACAAAAAATAATTAATTTACAGCTTAATAAGTTACCAGTCTGATTTCAGCCATCTCAGGACACACAGCATTACCTTGTGCTGTCCGAGGGTGAGAGTTACCTGGAACACTGCACACAGTGAGGTCTCTACTGACAGACACCAGTCATTTAAGGCAACAGGTAGTTTTCAACACCTCCCACTAAAAGTCACAATTCTGCAGCTGAACATAAATGGCCTCCACAACGTCTGTCTCAGATGCATCTCCATGTATTTTATTTGGTGAGACTGATTCCCTCCTCATTATTTTTAAATGCACTGTAACCTCCTTCTTCCTTAGTTCCTGTAATTCTTCCTACATCTATTTCTAGGTACCTTCTCATAGCACACACAAACACAAAACATATTTGGGAACAGGCATTTGTTATCACAAAAATTAGGCCTGGTAGCTCTGTGATAACAGCAAACACAGCTTATGTAGCAGTGACACACTAAGAAACAAGTGACAGGTCCACTTAAGGTCCAACTGATGCAAGTGATTTGCACTGAGTTATATACAAAATAATTAATTTATACATATACATATATATAGATAGAATATAGATAAATATATACATACTGTACATTATTTATTTACAATTAAAATATGCTTCTTAGAAGCCTTTAAATACCAAAGTTATGTAACATACAAGTAATGGCAATAATCTGTTTTTAAAGTAATAAAAGCTCTCTGAAGAAATGTTTAGTTCAATAATCAAAATTAATATTAAGAGTGTATGTGGGGGAGGGGGGAAGGTGAAGTCTCCAGAATAAAAGAACTTTCCTATAAAATTCCTTTTTCAGCTTTGTACAGACCCACGTCTGGTCAGATTTCTGCAGCTTAAATCAGACCTTTGCTTTCAGTATTCCTGTTCCCTGTGAGACCCTGATTTATGCTCACATGCTCCCAGGAACACTTCCTCAGATTTTTGTTTCTGGTCCCTCAGCAATCAGAGGTTGAAATGAGTTTCTGATCCTGGCAACTTCTGCTGCACACAGATGTCCAAAGCCTTTGTTGTACCACTCTGGGGAATGTCCTCTGAAGAAATGAAAAGAGAATTATTGAGAAACTGAAATACTCAAGAAATATGCCCCACAGAAACATGCTTGCCATGCTTCCTGCTCTGCACTGCCCACAGTGGTGGTGGAGATCCAAATACTTGTCTTTTTAAGTGTACTTTGAAGTCCTCCCTTGCAGTAATCAAATAAGCAGATTCTGTTTCTCAGATCACATTCTAACATGGTAGGCACTGAGTGGAGAGAAGACTGCAGGAAAACTCTGAAACAGCAAAGCTACCTTAACCATGCCCTCTGTTCCTACCTACCTGTTAGCTACCCTAACCCTGTTCCCAGCACCTGAACTTGAGGGTCTTGTCCTGCTGAATGGACAGGTGGGATACTTCGTGCAGGTGGGGTACTCACTTTAGGTCAATCCTACAGATGTGGGTCAGCCTGGCTTTTCCTGAGCCACAGGGCTCTATCAAGTACTGGGAGTCCATTACGATGGCTCGCACAGCTCCCATGAGAGGAGCCTCCTCATGCTCCACAGAGATGGCAACCAGCATGCACATCCCCTTGGGCAAATCCGTCCTCCATGTCCTGCAGGAACACATCCAAGATGGAATCACATTAGTGATGGAGTTTTTGGGCACATGAGTAAGAACCAGGATTGAAGTTACAGTCTCTGTCTATCCTTGTCCTTTTTGCCTGCAATGCCAGTGGACTGTCCTTGGAGTCCCTGGCAGAGTTTCATGGCCATGTGGATGGCCACCCATCTGTGTGGCTCCCGGTGGAGAAATTTTACTTCTCCACAGGAGTATTTTGTAACCTTTAGTATTCTAGGGCATGATAGAGCCTTTTGCAGTCAGACAAAAAGTTTTGGAAAGGAGAAAGACCGAGGATAAGCCATCCAGCAAAAGCTGAAACTGTGCATTGCACCTATGCAGTTTTACAGAACAAGAAATGCAGTTTAGTTCAGCAGAAATCCTCACCAATATGAGGATATGAGACTACCCAGAATATGTTTCAAGGGTGTCTGAATTAAAAACAAAATGTCCTTCCATTTCTTTCCTCTCCCAGGTTTCTAGCCTCTCTTACTTGTTGGAGAAGTTTTCTACCAAGTTCCAGATTTTTAGACTTTAATACTTAACATTTTTTTTGTTGTTCTCTAAGCATTCTCTACATACCCTTTGTGTCTCACATCTTTCTCATCTGCACTGAATCTCAGAGGATAGGTCTGTGCTCTTTCCTATGCTGTGGGAAGAAATGAGAAATTCCCACTGTGCTGTGCAACATGCATCATCTTGCTGTGGATTGTCTGAGACAGGGGTTATGCTGTCTTGGGAAGTATCATATTTTAGCAGGTAAGCTGCTTTCAAGGACTGTTGAAAGTTGGACTTCAGCAGATAATTTTAACATTCTGCATTTTTCTTACATGAAACGGAGCTGTTATTCAAGACACTGCAAGAAGACACTGACCAGAAGGTTTTACATGTGCCTGGGCATTAATAAAATTGAAGAGCTATCCTGGCAGATGCAATATGGGAGAAGGAAATCACAACTGAGATCCAGTATGAAAAATGCTGAACCACCTCTTGCAAGTGCCTTCACAGTGTTTGGATTTGCCCATGTCATTTTGGTATCTACCCAGGACTCCCTGGGCCATTTGGGAAGTGGAAAGTTCTCTATCCCAGAGATTTCAGAAGACTTTGGTTTCCTGTTCCCAGTCATGTGGATTTAGGCCAGTTTCAGTAGTTCTTTAATACCTTACAGTAGTAAAATCAGGCATGGAACCTAACTCACCAAAATGCTGTCATACTTAATGAACATGAAACACTTGTGGATCCTGTAACAAAAGTGATGCCTGTGCAGAGCAGCTGAGAGCTGTGTCATATCTCAGGCATATGAAACATTTTTCCTCTCCTTTTACCATCAGAGTCTTCTCTAGGGAGCCTAATCCCCTTGTTATGACTGTCACATTGGAAAAAAAGGCAACAACTAAGTTGATCCTTTCACAGCCCAAAGTTTGACTGAGAAAGAGAAAATTGCCATCTGTTAAAATGTATTTATTCATGTCCCCAGAGGTGTATTATAATTTCACTGTTCACTTCCCACCAATCATAAGGTATCAAATTGACTGTGGTATTGCTGGCTAACCTTGCTCTAGACTTAATGATATCAATCAAAAGAGATAAACAACAGAATCTGACAGATCTGCCTGATGGCTGTTTTCAGCCCTTAAGAACCCACCAGGATTCATTTTTATGATATGTATTTCAGTCCTCGAGGGTCATTCTGCCTGGGTCAGTGAAAAGAATGAGAACTCGATAGCAGGATTTTCCTTTAACTGATGTGACTGCACAGCAGGTCTTTAAGGAACATAAACCACCACGAAACCTAATAGTGAACTAAGTGGCAAATGAGAGGACCAAATTAGGGTCACCAAGACCTCCCTGCCGCTCGCAGACCATCTTCTCCGTGCCATGCAGAGGGCCAAATTTATCACTGCTTCAGGCTAATGACATTATATAAGAAGATTATTTATAAAATAATGATAGATAGATAATTATATAAAATATATAATAGATATTTGATTATAAAATAGTTAATTTAGCCCAGTATACTGTGGTAAGGCAAAAGATACAGAGTAATGGGAGAATTGGTTACAGAAAGCATTTTTAAAATCTTCCCCTAAGAGTTCCAATAATTCTTCCCTTATACCAACAATATCTGCATGTTGTCATCCTTTAAGAGACTACTGAAATTCATAAAAGGGATGTACTTTCGTAATTATATTTTATTTGGCTCATCTTTTTCCTTCAATCTCCATTCCCTTTAATACAATTCTGACTCCCTGTACTACTTCCTTCCTTTGTCAAAACTGCTTTGTATTTCTCTGGCACATCATTTCAATCAAAGAAAGCAGGGACCAAAAGCAGGAATGCACAAAATCATCCTAAAATAAATAACTGTAGGACTGACCCTGTAAGTGAAATATGTCAGCAGCTCCACAATAGCTCCTAGCAAGCAAAGGCCCAGATTTCAAAGACAGAAGAGGGGGGTTTTTGGACTATTCCATACAGGCAGATAGACAATGGCAGAACTGGGATTGAATATGGAATATTGATACACAGCTATACACAGCCATACATTTATTTAAGAGAAGTCATCTCCTGGAAGAGAGAATACAAATCTACTGCCTCTTTCTGTTCATTTCCACACTAACATTTTTATGGATAAGCATTTCTTCATTTAAAAAGACTCCAACTGAAAATTTAAGATAATAACTTATATAGACTCTGTGTAACAGCCTTAACTTAAAAGCACCACTATCTTCTCTTCTAAACATTTGGCTCTTAAACATCAAACATTCCCCAGAGAACAGCAAAAGCAGCGTAAAAAACAATTGGGTTCTATTTGCACTGTTTTGACAACAAACAAAGCTAAGAGAGAAGAGCAGCTATTATCAGACATCTGTTCTGAGGAAGAAATTATATTTATGGC